GCAGTGTTCTTCCCCTGGGATTCATTTCTATGGATTGATTATATATCCCTGACAACCCCATTTAAAATTTCCATACTCTCTACCCTCCACCCCAGAACTTCCTATCATTCTTTTTGCTTTATTTTTCTCCATAGCACTTATCACAAATATATTCTGTATTGCACATACAAATTTTGTTTTCTTCTGACTTCCCTCACTAGAACGTCTGTTCTATGCCAATAAAAATTTTGCTAATTGCAGTAGCTCAGCCCCTTGGACAGTGCCAGGCACATGTAAGCATTCAGTAATGTTTGCTGAATGAATGTAGGAATAAATCTACATATATTGATCAACCTTACCACGTAATTGCTACATTTCCACTTGGTTGAGTGTTATAAGTGTCCTTTTCTGGAAGGTGGTGTCACATAACAGTTGAATGTGGTTTCTAGGGTCATTGTGCATTGAATCTCGATTCTAACACTGGTTGTCTGTTTAACCTTGGGCAAGTTACTTAACATTTCTGCGCCTTAGTTTTCTCACCCTCATAGTAAAGAGAATGAATTACATATCTCATGGTTAGAAAATATGTGTGAAATACTTAAAAAAACATTATGGTGCAGTCAGCCCTTAAAACTCACTAGTACTGTCATTACATCCATTTGTGAAGAGAATAATATTCTTTATGCACTCATCGCCTAAGTGAAATAGAGTCAAGACAATTGAAAATAGTTTGACACAAAGATTTGAATCATTTAGTGTAAGGCATATTTTAGGCATACATTATTAATATAATTTACTTTCTGAAAATTAGCAGGGCATTAATTTTATTTATTGGGCAAACTCCAATTAAGTCAAACAGAGTAGTGCAATAATTCCAAAGGTCAAGCTTGGCTTTGAGTTCTGCTCTGTTGTTTACTAGGTCTGTGACTCTGAGCAGAGCAATTAAGAACTTTAGGTGTCAATCTCCACATTTGTAACATGAGTCAAAATTAAACCTCTGTTAGTAGTTGAATATTAAACACAACACGGTACCTGGCGCATGACAAATTTCAATAAAAGGAAGGTCGAAAAAAAGATTACCAAATATATAAAATCTTGAGAACAATGTTTCTGACAGAAGTATATCAATTTACATAAAATTGAGTAAGACTTGAAAGCGAAATGATATTTTTCTGACTCAAGGTCAATCTCAAGCAAACAAATTAGAAACTCATATTCTGGAAGACCTTATCATTTTAAAAAGAAAATTTAATATTTGAAGTATTGATATATTTGACAGAAAATCACTTAGCATATGACTTCCTTTGTATTGCTAAGTATGAAACATAGAGCCTATTAGTATCAATTTAAGAGCTGGAAATGTCTCTTTTAAATCGATACTTCTGAATTCCTTAAAATTCAATGTGGTGCAGACAATCCTCCTCTTCTTCCCCTAATCCCGGTCAGTTGAACTTTATGAAGGTACTAAGTTAAGACCTGCGAAGACCTCGTGCATGCCTATCTTCAAGGTCATTATTATCTAGGACTCTGTTACTAGTATTTTGTAACACTGGCTGCGTTCAGCATCCTTGTCCACCCCTGTTAGCACCAAAGTAGGGGCGTTGGTTGCGGCACTTAGTTACAGTGGAGAAGATGGGAGAAGATGCCTCTGCTCAGGTTCTCTAACCAGAGTTTGCTGGAGCCACAAGGGGACGGCAAGCACCTCAGGTCACCCCAGAGTGGATCACAGGCATTGAGTTCTGCCTTGTGACATGAAGCTCAACTAACCTCTTTTAGCCAAGTCAGCACTGGAGTACACATGTCTAGATTTACACCTGCCCAGGAGCTAGGGAGCCCAAGCTAACGGGGCATTGTGTTTTGATGATGTAAAGAGTCTCAACATAGTCTCCGAATCCCAAGCAATCCCATTTCAGAAAAGAACTTTAGGACTGTGGCAAGTAGCACCTCAACGCTTACTACTGTGAGCTGATTCTCACTTTTTCTGGGTGCAGAGGAAATGATGGAGATAAGATTGAGGATGGGAAGTGTTCAAGTTAATAGGTCATTTTGTTTTAACTTGTAGATGGAATATCAAGAGCCTCCCAAAGTCTTTAAAATGCCATAAGCACTGCCAACGTTATAGGGATCAAAATGTGGATACCGCCTATACAAGAGATGTGGGTACCTTTTTAAAATTCCCTGCTGAATGTACCTTAATATTAAAACACAGACCAGTACAAATATCGTTGTAAATATAATAATGTGATTTAACTAGCCCGTGGGACACCTTTGTGCCCAGCAGTCCAGCTTCAGGGCCCATGGTTTGTCCAAAGGAGCAAACACAGACCCCATCACTATCCCCCTATACTGGATGCCCTTGTGCAGGGCACAACTCGCCCTTCAATATGTTGTGTTCCTGAAACTACTATTTCAAGCCTGTGTGTGTCCAGACTGTGCTGCGTTCTTTACACACTTACAGTTTATAAGGTCCTCTGATCGTCATCTTGATTTTCAAATGGGAAATTTAGAGAATGGCTGAGAGGGATTTGAATCCATATCTACCGATATCAAAGTCAATCTATTTTCTGCTAAAGCAGCTGCCTTTTACTTCTACCTTCTTTTCATCAAAAAGTGTTTATTAAGAGTTTTAATCTCTGTGGCAGTGCTGTAGGTCCCTTCCAAAGTGTGAAGGAGAGAACCGTGCCTCTTTTGGACAACCTCAGATCGGATCTAATGTTTTAAAGCTAAGACTTTACTGCCGCTGTCATTACGTTATTTCAAACAGGTTGAGTTTCTCATCCGGTTTTGGTAAACACAGACCTGTCCAGTTTAGCCTGTAGTGATAATTCTCACTGTTTTCACAATGAAAAGCTCTTCTCCTCTTTTTAAAAATAGTCTTCTCCCTCATAATGCCCATGTGATAAAATACACCTACTAAGCAAATTGTATTCACTACATAAGAATATGTTTATCCATTTTCAGATGAGAAGACCTACTAAAGAGTACATAATTTAAAAAGCCAAAGAAAGCAGCTAATGATAAATGGCAACAAAAAAACCAGTGAGTTTATTTAATAACAGATATTTAGGTAGTTCATGCAGCAAACTTTATTACCAGAGAGAAGTGGACTCGAATTCCTCCGCTTGACCTCCTTGAGTTCCTCCGCTTATTTTCCATGTTACTTGAACTTCCTGAGCCTTATTTGTCTTTCTCTATACATGAAGTAATAATTCCAATATTATCTAATTATTATAAGGAATATGAATGAGGGACTATAGGTAAATGATCTGGCATACCATGCCTTCTTTGTGCACAGTGTGCACTCAATAAGTGTTGTCTCCTGTGAGAGAACATAAAAGCTAGAGAGCATTTCAGAATTATAAAAATAACTCACCAATGAAAATTCTTGACTCTGTGAATCCCTAGAGGTGGGAGACGTCCCTAGATTGGAAGACAACAGTGTGGGTCTAGAGTCTCCAATGCTTTCTGGGAATTAATGGGACACATCATGAGGAGGGAATCTCAGGGCAGAGAACAGGTGTGTGTGTGTGTGGTGGGATGTACCATTCAGAAACAAGCTGCTCCTTTTCCTAGTAGTCTTCCAAGACTCCAGAGAAGCAGGGCTATCTTAATCTATTTGAAGTGTCTTGAAGAGCCAGACAAGGAAGGCATAGGTGTGGCCAAGAGAGCCCAGAGTCTGAGTCAGCCGTGTGTGAGCCTTTTGTTAATGGAGTGTCCTAGGGATCAGAACTAACCAGACATGTGGCTGTTTTCCCAAAAGTCATTAGGTTTGTGCCTAAGGAGTATGTTATAATGCCGAAGGAAGGAAGGTCCTGTTGAATTAATATTTTTTCAGTCTATTTTTGAGAGTAAACTCTTACCTTCCTTTCCCACATCCTCACCAAAGTGACTTTGTTCACCATAAACTTGTTATACTAAAATGATGATTCAAAAGCAAGATGTATTTCCTTCCTTTTGCTAAAGACTTGATTAATCGTCTGAGAGTAGATCTTTTAGGACAGCTGAAATACCATTTTCGCCCAAACCCCAAGCTTTTAAAATTGCACTAAATTATTTGAGCAAACCATTTATAGTTTTATTTTATTTTTGCTTTTTATGTATAGACCAAAACCACCAACCCAAAAGATTTTTTTTCAGTGCACAAACTATGCTCTGAGAATAAGTTGGATACTTCTGGAAGATGTTTTAACTTTATTAGGCAGATGAAAGGGCATTCGGCAAAAAGAATTAAGCACTACACTGACTGGTGTTTAAGTATCAAGGTCAATTTATATTTATTTGTTCAATCCACACTGACAACTTAAAAAGTCACCTTCCATTACTTTCTGGTAGGAAGTCAAGGTTTTCATATGTCTGTAACATCCCTTATTATCCACCAATGGGCAGTCCTTGGAGGATCCAGGATGTCTGTTCCATGCATAATGTTTTTCTGTTCTCCCTTTTGCTTTATCTCTGTGTTTCTTGAGAAAATGGTATACAAACCATTGAACTGAGAAGTAGCATTGATCTGGAGTTCCTTTGTTGAGGGGAACTCTTTGCTGACATTATGTGGTCATTAAGAGTATTGAGCATTCTCTGAGAATCATGTATTGAGTGTTAAATTCCTTTGACTTCATGTATTTGGGTATTTTCAAGTATAGAGTTGTCTCCAAATTCATCAGTCTGCCTAGCTATGCTCTTCTAATCTGCCAAGTACTTAGTTGGAGTTCTTCCTATTTATAATAAAGAATTTTGCTTTTGCAAATTTTACGATTTATACCTTAGCTCTTCCACTACAAAAGCCTGGCTTTGTAACTCTTAGCAAACTGAAGCCAAAGAATGAAAATAATTTTGAAATATTGTGACCAAAATCTCTGCCTCATTGCTGATCATTATTGCTGATAATCCTTAGACCTTTAATGACCTTGACTGCATGAATGTAGACTGCCTGCCTATCTGACAGCGAATGAGATCAGCCTCAGTCTCCCCAGCAGGAAGAGTGAAGGCTGGTGATGCCCACATGATGAGACGCTGTTTTCTAGGTTTTGCAATGGAACAAATATGCTTGCTGTTGCTTCTAACAATGAGAGTGCTCCCGGGGTCTGCTCAGTTCAATGGCTACAACTGTGATGCCAACCTCCACAGTAGATTTCCTGGTAAGTCTGAACCTAATCTTTTCTCTAATTGTATCTGGAAAGAGTGATTATGTTTGAATGATAAATTATTTAAATACATATGGAAAATAGGGGGGATATCCCTCTATATTAAGTAGATATTAACAAATGGCAAATGACAAAAGACATTTTTCTGGAGTTATAATTTATACCTACATTAACATACAAAGTGTTCATCATAGTTAATATTATTATAATGGCTGCTCACAGATGTGAAAAGTATTGGCTAGTGGGTGATAAAATTGAGAGGCTAATTTCATTCAAAATTTGCCTAATTGATGCCTTTTTTCTCTATACGTTAATTTGAATGTTCAAAACTGCCCTTATATGCTAATAGATTTATTTAGGAATAACACTTAAAAGAAAATGATTGTGAAATATTATGCAATACTCAAAAAATATTATCTCAGTGAAATGTTGGTCACCACTAAAGTACACGGGCCAGCTTCAGAATGCATTTCACAGCAACCCATCAATATGGTGATAGATATGAGATTTTGACCATATTAGTGGACAGTCCCACAGGTTCCTAAAATCTGCACTCTGTGAGAAGTAATTCAATGTTTCATTTAAATATTTGCCGTTTTATTCAGGTAAAGTGAGAGAGCACAGTTCAACATTTACAGAATAAAGGTTGGACAATCTGAAGCTGCTTTTCCAAGTCTGCCATGCACACTGAAACGCCTTTTGACCTGTTTGACATTCTCCAAACCTGCCAGGACTGCTATATATGTGTATATGTGATGGCAGCAGCCCATCTACTTAGAGCAATCAGGAGGTAGTTATGTAGTTGATGTGAGATTGCCAAATTATCTGAAGAGAGGTAATCTGGTTTGCTCCAGAATTAAGATCAGAATGTGTGGGAATGTCCTCCTGAGCCCAGACCTAGGGCCAGTGAGCGGCTGATGAAGCAAAACGTGGAGGTCAGGATGGGTCTACAGGGAAGTCTGGAAAAGTATGCGAAGGGAGGGTTCTTAATGGTTTCGAATACCGCAAATGATGGTTTGTGGGGTACATTTTGCCGTTTTTATTATGGAAAACTCCAAACTTATACAAAAGTAGAGAGTAGGAAAAAGAGCACTCATATTGCTCATCCACCTTTGTTGGTTATTAACTTTTACAAATTTTGTTTCATCCCTCTCTCCTTCTTACCACCCCCATCTCTGGAATATTTAAAAATAAATCCATTATTCATCTTTCATTGTGTGTATCTACTGGAAAAGAACTTAAATAAATCATTGCACTTCATGCATACATCTAACGAACGTAGCAATAATTCCTTCATGTCATCTAGTACTCAAGCAAGTTGCTCTAATGCACTCACGTGGTGTGTTTGTTGATACATGTCTTAGGTCTATTTTAATTTATAACAGTTCCTCTCTGTTTCTTGCTTTTCTAAAATGCTATTTATCTCTTTAAGTAATTTGGTCATTTGTTTTGTAGAATTCTGACACTCTGGATCTGCTTGGCTGCAACTCTGACGTGTCATTTAACATGCTCCTCTTTCCTGTATATCCTGTAAAGTAACTAGAGCTAGAGGTTTCAGGAAACTCAGCTTCAAATGTTTTGGCAAGAATACTTTGTGCGTTGTTTGTGTAATGAAAACATTTGTCTTTATTTTGTAGGCAATGAAGAGCTATTGAGTTTTTGTTTTTGTTTTCTTTTTTGTTGAGGAAGATTCACCCTGAGCTAACATCTGTTGCTAATCTTCATTTTTTTCTTTTTTTTCGCTTGAGGAAGATTAGCCCTGAGCTAACACCTGTGCCAATCTTCCTCTGTTTTGTATGTGGATTGCCATCTCAGCATGGCTGACAAGCAGTGTAGGTCTGCACCCAGGATCCCAACCCATAAACCTGGGCCACGAAAGTGGAGCACACTGAACTTAACTGCTATGCCATCAGACCAGTCCCCCATTGAGGTTTTTTAAACACACCTTTTTAAGGGTTTGGTATGGTCGCATTTTGTTTTAGACAGCAGACATTGGGAAAAGTATAAAAGATAGAATCACGTTTGAAGAGACTGGAAGCCGAGAGAAATATCCTGAAGGCAGTGGCAGTGGGAGCAGCAGAGGACCCAGCTATCAGGAGATATTTTGTGGTGAACTCAGCAGAACTTGAGGACTGGTCCAGTTTGGGAAGTGAAAGAGAGGGAGGACTAGAGGGTGTTTTGAACTTGGATAGCTGGATGTTGATTCTGTTAAGTGATGCTAAAGATACAGGACAGTTGCCTGTTTTAGAAAGGAAGTTTGGATTTGGAGACAATGGGTTTGGGGAGCTTTTAGAACTTTTGGTGGCAGCCTCTATCCAGTAGTAGGAAATATGGGTCTGAGGAGAATGGTTGAAACTGTAGGGGAGGAGGACATGTCCTCTCCCCAAATGGGGGTTCGTCTGGCTGGAGAACGAATTAAATTCACATGAGACAGAATAGCAAGAGAAAATTAAACAAAGCTTTATGAGGAACCATGGCCCAGGGCCTTTCTTCCTGAAGGAAGAAAGGGCACCGAAGAAGTGGGGTGCACATAGTGGTTATATACCCCTAAACAGGGTGTTTCACATATGATTGAAATGTCCCTTTTACAATAGTCACGAGGCCTCTCTGTCAGCACAGCGCTTGATGGAAACAGCAGGTAGTGGTCGGCTATCTCGGTGGGCGTAGCAGGAGGCTAGTTGATTGTCTGGAGCTGGGCGGTCACAGGTGAGCGCAGCAATCAGTTCCTAGCCTAAGGAAAGATGCTTAATCTTTAAGGAGATGCCAATGTTGGGAGGGGGAGGGAAGTCAGTTACAGGAGGTTACCAGACCAGCACAATAAAATGCAGATTTAAGTCCTTGCCTTTGGTATTGATTAAGAGTTTTTAGAGAGAAGGTCATCTCCTTTCTTCTTCCTGGTACAGAGAGGGAGGCACCTTTTACAGATAGAGATTTACCTTACAAATGTAAACGTGTCCTAACAAAGGGCAAGTTCCATTCCTCAGAGCCTCCTTCCCTGTCCCAGTTTATCAAAAGCAATGAGCCTCAAATAATCCTGATGCCAAAGAGACATATCTTGGGGTTGCCAATTCCAGGTCCCCACAAAACCAAAGACAGCCATGTGAGAGCTGAATCCCTGGGCAGTGAGTGAGCAGTGAATGGGGGTAGAAAATGAAAGGTATGAAAATAGACAATTATTTAGGAAACTTTGGTGGTGAAGGAAAGAGAGGAGTAACCAGAGCCAGTAATTTAAATGAGGAAAGAGGACTTTTTAGATTACAGGACTAGAGACCTGAGCATACGTGAGTAAAGGGAAAGTATTCAGAAATTAGAAAGAAAATATGGAAAAGATCAAGGTATAAGTGAAGGAATTGATCTGGAAAAGCCGTAGCCGTTTCTTTGATTTAGGAGAGAAGGAGATAAAAGACACAGGCAGAGAAGTTGAGAGATGCCTATTGTGTTCATCTCCTCAGCGACGCGGGAGGCAGTGGCCCCTAGGAGAGTGAGGGGCCAGAGGCCTGGGAAGGACAGTGAAGCCTCACCCTGTTATGTGTGGAAAAGAAGGCCGAAAAGTAAGAAGATGGCTCAGCAGAGAGGACCCGGCTGATGCCATAGTTACACACTTGTAAACGTAAAGAAAACTTATAAATGAGCAGGAAGTGACTAGAACAGAAAAAGGAAACACTTTTCATATGGTAAATTAAAAAATTTATGTCAAAACATCCATTTACAATGGCGCCCACTGACCACCTGTATCAAAATCACCTGAGATGTTAAAAGTGTGGACTCCACTGCTTCCCTCCAGATACATAGTGTCAGAATCTCTGACTGTGAGGCTGGGAATCTGTGTTTTAAACTCTGCAGATGAGGCCAATGCACATTTATGGTTAAGAATAACTGACGTAGGTATTCTATTGGTATCTTGAGTCCATTATTCCAATTAAAGGCATAGTCAGGTGTTGGGGAAATAAAAACGAAATCTTCTCCCATTCCAGAAATCCTTTCCACAAAGATAGTAGAGATGAAAACACTTTTATTATTGAATTAGTGTTAAACCAGAATATGATGCTCATCACAGGCAATTCAGTAAGAGATTGCAAAGACAGAAAGAAATCTCACCATTTTATACAGCCAACCAGATACAACCTATTACATATATGTTTTCAAAATAAACAATAAGTGGTCCTCAATTAAGAGGACTTGACAGCACCATTTGTCACATATAGTTCAGCCTAAATTTACCTGGTAATTGTGGTGACCACCTGTGTTAGCACATTGGCTTATCCAGAGGAAAAATAAACTCACATCTCTATGAAAGAAGGTACTTTTGCAATTTGGAGCAAGCCTCCCACCAAAGTTAGGTTCCTACCCTCTCACAGAAACTGTGAGATGGGGAGCTGTCTAACTTGATATTTACATTTCAAGAGATGGCTCCCCCTCCTGACAAGACATTCCTGGGTCATAAAGCCGACAAAAGGCCTATCTAGTTTTCAAAAGGAGAGGAGAGACTACTTACAATTACAAGGTTTCTGATGTAAATGCTCTAAGAAAAGGGAGGAAAGAGAAGCCTTTTACCTTACTTTCAACACGGAGAATTAAGCTCTTATTCTTAATTTGCCTCAGTCCTTACACGTTAGCACTTGTACTACTATCTGACAACAAATATCCAAACTTTCCAAATGTACACACACACACACACACACACACATCATTGCAATTTTAAATCTATGTTAAATAAAAAACCCAAATTCTTAAATCCAGGTAAATCAGAAGTCCCAGGAGAGGCTTTGAGTTTATACGGGTATTGTTTTCAAGTAAGCACCTTTTCGCAGGTTGTTTGCAAAAGAAGACTAGAGTGAGCAAATACAGCCTAAAGGTTAATTGCCCACTCCCCTCCTGCCCTGCTGCGTCTCTTCCACAGCAGGATCACCCTGGAGGGCATCAGGAGCTCCTCAAGCTGCTCAGCTAGTAAGCAATGGGACGGAATGAGAATGAGTCTGGCAAAGGAGAGGGGC